TCAGGGTCTTGGCGATCTTCCTTTTGCCCTGGGATGCTCTTTTGAGCCCTTTGCATGGCTGTCCTCTTGTCATTATTCATGCACCTACTCACGGGGCTCCTGCTCATCAAAGCCTTTCCTGACCACTGTCTTCAAGTACCCCTCCTCCCATCTCTCGACTCCCTTACCCTTTGTTCTCTGAACACCCGCCTCTATCTGTAAGTATCCTCCTGAGACCTCAGGCTGCACAGGCGCAGGGCCTCCGTTTGTCTCTGTCACCACTGGGCCTGCAGCATTGCCAAGTGCTGGCCTGATGTATATTACCGAATTGTTCCTGATCTCGGGGTTGTCGTGATAAAGCGAGTGACAATGTAGTTTGACAGGGGCATCGCACAAATTTAGTACACTAAAGGACCATACAGATGCCAGACAGCTGTAACTCTGATCTTTATATAATGCAGTTGGTACCGATAATGACCACCTCAATCGCCCCCTTTGACGTTACTGAGAGACAACTGCTTGATTTGCCTACTAAGAACGAAGGCGTTAAAATCCCATCAGAAGACTTTGCAGATGTGTCCTTAAATGCCTGGAGCTTTTCAGCTGCTCCTGTATAAAGCACGGAACAGGCACAGGAGCCTTCTAGAGGCCAGGACACTAGGCATGCAGCCTAAAACGTAAGGTTATTTTATTTATTTATTTATTTATTTATTTATTTATTTATTTATTTATTTGACACTAGGCCTAAACGTAAGGATTACTACTTATTTTATTTTATTTTATTTTTTATTATTTATTTTATTTTATTTGAGAGAGCGAGCAAACGAGCGCACAAGCCAAGGGGAAAGGCAGAGGGAGAAGCAGACTCCCCGCCAAGCCGGGAGCCCGATGGGGGACTCGATCCCCGGGTCGATCCCAGAACCCTGGGATCATGACCTGAGCTGAAGGCAGATGCCTAACCGACTGAGCCACCCAGGTGCCCTAAAATGTAAGGTTTAAATCCCAGTATCAGCCCTCACCAGCTGGACTGTCTTCTGAGCTACACAGTTTTGGCAGTGTACCCTTAGAGTGGCCCATCCTACTCCAGAAGGTTATAGAGAGGACTGACGAGAAGTATAGAGAGGACTGATGAGAAGATGAGGGTGAGTGTTCTTTGCACACTACAAAAGAGCTGTAAGGTGATCTTGTGGGTTTACCTTTGTGCACTGTTGGATGAACACTGACGAAAAGTATCTGAAGATCAAATCCTATTAATAGGGGAGCAGTTAAATAAATTATGTACAGTGGCATGCAATGGAACACTACACAGTTGTTAAAAAGATAGGGAGGCTCGGGGCACCCGGCTGGCTCAGTCGATGGAGCATGGGACTCTTGATTTCGGGATTTTGAGTTTGAGCCCCACGTTGGGTGTAAAGATTACTTAAAAACGTAGAATCTTAAAGAAAACAAAACAGGGGAGCTCTTACATAGTAAAATAGAAAGATGTCCATGATGTATTATGGGAAAAAAAGGTAAGAACATCTATAGTTCTAACTACGTATGTGTATGCATAGAGAAATCACTTGGAAGACGATATACTAAATTGTTAGCAGTATGTTTTCGGGGTGGGGGGTGAAATCTGGCACTTTCCCTGTGTGAGTTATATGCGGATTTCTCTCCGCTTCTTTACACTGACTTAACATCTAAGTAATTTAAGACAGTGTATTCACAACCAGCCAAGTACACACATCACTGATTCCCTAGCTCCCTTCTAGAAGTTTCCCAGCCCTCAGGCCTGATTGAGGGTAATACTGCCTCAGAGAACGAACTTGGCTAAGGTGGGAGCTTGCGGGAGTCACAGTCACAGAATAATAAAGACAAGCTCCTCCGAAGAGCCTTACGTGCAACATTCGCAAAACAAAAAGAAAAGCGCCCCGAGGCTGTTGAAGCTGTTATGTTAGGAGACCTGCAAATGATTCACAGCTGGGCTTCTGCAGGAAGAAGGAAAAAAGGTCAAAACAATGCTATTAGGTGATTTTAAGATGCTGATTCCTCAGATCAAAGACTTGCTTCCTAAACACCCTCACAGTGGTCAAAGGTCAAAGGTCACAACATTAATATACGTAAAACATGGCCGGGCAGAGGAAAAGCAGAAGTTGCCTTCAACTCCCCGCTTTCACTTCTCACACAGTGGGCTTCCCTGCCCTCCAAAAGCAGATGGTAGGTGGCATCCAGTTCTCTGTATCAAATTCAGAAAGTCATGTCTCGGCTTTCCTAATGATGGACAGGGCAACTTCAGTGCAAGCCAGCTGGCTGACACCTGAGCTTTCTGGAGATGGAGCGGGGATCCTTCCTGATTCAAGGCAGTTTGGGAAAAAATGCAACTTAGAGGAAAGAGGAAGCTTGCTGGGAGCTACAGCTTGGACTTAGCCAAGTGGTTCTTGGCCCCCCGCCCCGGTCGGTTGGCCATCTCCGTCACGGAGTTACGGAACACTGGACCACGGTTCTCGGGGTAACTGCCTTGCTCTCACATGACTTTCTCAGACCCCCTTGCACGTTCACCTGCTGCAAAGTCAAATGCTTTGGCTCTGAAGTCAAGCACAACTAGATCAGACGCGTTTGCCCTGCTGGAACTTACTTTCTCACTAGAAATAGAAGGCTCCTCCTATTTTTAGTTCTTGGAGAGGAATCGCCCTTTTGGTTATAACAGCAATACATGGTCACTGAAGACACTGGAACATACAGAAAAGGCAACAATCACCCCCACACACGATCCCGTCACCTTCTCCTTAAAGGCCACCACCGCTACTTTGTCACCTTTTTCCCATTTTTTTCCCCTCCATGATTAAGTCACATGCATACATATATAGAACCTATCCTACACTTAACATTGTATTCTTAGTATTTTCCCACATTAACTGAACCCTTCAAAAGCAATTTTTCCTTTGAAATATTTCTCCCAAAGAATGCATTTTCTCTATGGAAAATTTGGAAAACACTGAAAAGCAAAAATTAGTTTCCCATATTCCTACCATCTGGAGACAGACATCAGTAACCATCAGGAACATACCCTCCCTCCCGATGTATTTTTTTCATTATATAAGTATCATGCCTGTGGAATCTTTCCTTAGATTTCTAAAACCCAATTATTAGTCAGAGGCTGTGAATACTTCTAAAGGTCTTCACATCACCAAAGCACTTCCAGAACTGTAATTTCTCCTACCAGTATGAATGGCAGTCTCAAATTCTCACTAGCACTGTTTTTAAAGATTTTGTTAATTTGATAGGTTGAAAAAGTATCTTGTTATTTCTCTAATATGGGTGAGGGTGAAATTCTTAATATTGCTCACTTGCATTTTCCTTTATAAAAATTATTTACACGTCTGTTGTTACCTACTTCTGTTACCTACTACTTAATAGGGTCTTCTTTTTCTTAGAGGATTGTATTTGCTGAATTTTTTTTTAAGATTTATGAGAGAAAAAGAGTAAGAGCGAGCGAGCAGGGGGAGGAGGGGCAGTGGGAGAGGGAGAGAGAGAGAGAATCTGAAGCAGGCTCCATGCTAAGCACGGAGCCTGCCATGGGGCTCAGTCTCACAACCGGGAGATCACGACCTGAGCTGAAACTAAAAGTTGGATGCCCAACCAACTGCGCCACCCAGGTGCCCCTGGAAAGGAGCTTTTAGTACTAGTTTCCATCTGAACCCACTGAGGAATGGGACGATTCTGTTTTTGTTTTTTGGCCAGAAATTGCTTGATCCTGAAAGTCTCATAAGAAGACCCGGCGAGGAGGAGTCAAGCGTACACATTACGATGACAGTGCGGGGAGAGAGCTCAGTCTCTTATCTGGAGCACGTTAGAGTAAAAATAACATCCACGTCTGAAATAACACAAAGTTACTATGAAGAATTATCAAAGCTTCCCCATCTCCAGTGAGGGGAAGAAGTGTGCGATGTGAGGCAGAGCTGGCCACGTCAGCAGCTTAGGCCAAACCGGGCTCTATGAAGTCTCTTAAAACCCATGTGCCTGGAGGTGGACCGGATGCAGATGAACTGCACCGTGTGTCCACCACAATTTACAATCTTGTAGTTGAAGGGAGGGTGCGGGAGGAATGAAAGCACCTAGGTTTTTCAAGGAAAGTTACCGTGTCAACATAAGGTCTTCAATCTGTCTCCCTTATTACAACAGTCCAAAAGTTAAAATCCTCACTGAGCCCCAACACCAAGACGTTTGCCAGTCCATCGAAACAGGCTAGAAACACATTTGCAATCATGTTCAGACAAGAAGTAACAAGAAGGAGAAATGCAGGCATGTAATTTTTCAAGTATACAATTTGTTTTTATTTACAATACCCTATAAAAATGTAAATTTAGAAACTTTAATTTTTATTAATTAGAACCAAACAAAAAAGATAAAGCACAGAAAGGAAGAAATAATAGTCAAGTATTCACTTGATCAGTTGTGAGGGGAAGGGAGGAAAGGCGCAGGGTGGAAAGAGTCAGTAGGTAAGGGTGGAGGGAAGCTAGGTCATGTCACCGGGAGCAGCTTGCGGGGCCGGGGCTCCGGAATGGGGAGAAACAGAGATGGAGAGCAAGGACAGCTGGTTACAACGGAGGACTTTACTGTTGTACAAGACATGTATGTGCAAAATGTTGATTCTCTTTAAATATCATAACCTGTCCCCTCGCTAACATTCGAAAAGGTGAGAATAGCAAAAAGTGTATCAGGACAGTCATGTGAAATGGACTCTGATTTAATTTTCCAGAGGGCTGTGATCTTTAGAGATCAAACCCCTCATCTTGCTTGGCTGCTGCCCGGGAGGGGGACGGGAGGGGGACAGGTGGAAAGGGCCATGGTGGGCTGTCCCTGCCGGGACCGGGAGCCAGGCCCCTGGCTGCCTGGGAGAGGGTCCTGGAGACGAAGGGGAAGGACAGCACTTCTGCCTGTGGTGTGGAGGAGCCTGCAGAGCAAAGCAAGCCGAACTGAGTTTCCGTGGTTACCTCTGGAGGTTGCGACCCATGACACCAAATAAAAACGGGGAAGAGGGAAGTAAAAGCATGGCTTTATTGAAGTTGTCTCAGGAAGACAGAGCGAATGTGCAAACGCTACGCTGTGGAAGCAGGCTCTAAGTCCGGTTCATCTGGGGCAACCTTGCACGCCCTGGAGGGGACAGGCTCAAGTACACTGTAGCTGTAGCAGGATAAGGGCTTAACCGTGTGCCATTTCACTGAGGTGGACAGATACAAAGGAAATACGGCGGGGAGGAGAAACAGGACTTCTCAGCCTAGAGCTGGGTGTCAGCCAATTAAGAGTCCTGATTTTAACGTGCTGCATACCCTGTATTTATATTAAAACAAGTAGAACCCACCAAATTAATTGCAGGATGGACTAGAAACAGATTAAAAATACATCAGCTGGTTTGTTTTTAGAGGAGGGACGTGTCAACTACATATTTCTCAATCTAAAACTCGTTCTTTAAAGATCCTCTGGAGATCACATGAACGTATGTAGAGGGGAGTGTGTGCATATATATATATATATATATATATATGTATTGGTTTCTACTTAATTGGTTCTCCTATAGTTGTGTTAATATGGGGCAATGAAAGAAGACTTTAATAGGATGAGGGGAGGAATCCCTTGGCAGGCTACAATCTACTCTGACTGGAGTAGTGGGGGTAGGTAAGGGGAGAGATTATATTTGTGTCTCTAGGGCAAAGAAAATGCAAAACTGAGAAGAACTGAGGAAAAGCAGGACATGCAGAACTGTAACACAGAAGGTAAGAAGGAGCCAGCGGAAATATCGCCCAGCCAAATTTCACAGAGCAGTGGGGAAATACGGGGCACTGAGAGCCAAGCCCTGTGACAGGAACCGGTCCCACGAGACGCTCTGGGGAACAAGCTACCTTCCCTCCCTCATCAGAAACACCCCGCTGTGACGGCTGCGGTGCGGGCGCAGCCTAAAGGAGGCACAGGACACGCCTGGAGGTCTTTTATCGGGTCCCCTGAACCAGCCTGTGGGCAGAGAGAGAGAGAAAGGAAACTTGTGTGAGTTAAAACAGAAGGCAATGTTTTGCATTAAAGTTACACCCTTGTTAGAATTCTCTCGACAAAACACCTGAAATATCTCTACCCTTCCTTCCTGAACTCAGGGTGCTTCTGTAGCCCGCTCAGCACCTTCTATCTAGTAGATACTCACGTACTTGAGACAAGTCCTTAATGTCTTCCACTAAATTCAGTTTTATGCCCCTGATCTCCTCACCGTAACGTCTAAAGTGCCAACTTTAGTAAGATGTGGAACTCTCCTGTTTCAGACTTACTGCAGCTTTGTCTCCAGCAAGTTCAGTTTCTGTCGGTCAACATAGCGAGAAAAGAGGGATACCAGGTTTGTGGGTATAGAGATTGGCTTGGCCAGGGCTGCTTGGGGAATCCGCAGAAGTTCTCGGGTTGCCATGAACATCACCTCCGTCCTGAAAGAAAAACCGTTAACAACACGTAAGAACAATATGAGAAAAAGAATAAACAATGATCTAAAAGAACGTGAAAGAAGAAACACAGCCCGGACTGACCACTGGTTGTTCTGTGTTGATTCTGTAGCAGGGTCTGAACTCTGTAGGTCTTCCCCACGGCTCAGGACGACGAGGAGCAGTGACAGGCCAAACTACAAGAGGAGACAGAGGGACTCCAACTCACCTCTGCACCCGCTCCTCCAGCACCGCTGAGGGGATCCCAGCACTAGATCACAATGAGCCCGCCGCTTCGCTCTGCCGACGGCAAACATCCGGCGACCATGAGCTGGGGGCTGGGCCTTTCTCCTGGCTTTGCTCAGGCAGGCAGCAACAGCATCACCAACGAAAAGGGGAAGCCCAGGGCCAAGCGTACTCTCTGCTCCCCCACCCCAAAGTGAGAAGAAAAGATAATTTCTTCCCTGTCACAGATAAGGTGGGGTTTAGTTTTACTTGCATTTACTAAAACAGAAATGGATTAAAAAAAAAGTCAAAGACAAACTTTGATCAGAAAATTAAAGTTCACAGAAAAAGTAAGAAAAAACATTAAGTAGATTGATATTTTGAATTAAGAACAAAGATGTGAAGACCGGTGGGAAAACGTACAAAGAAAGGTCACTGAAATGATCAGCATATGAAGAGACTTCCTTGAATCTCCTGAAAAAGTTTTCTTAACAAAGGACACACCCCTAGTGGACATATAAAGGTTGAGATAAGATATTCAAAGCAGAGAAGGGATACACAGATTTAATACTCTTACTAAGACTATTAAAATTTAAGCAACCTGCTTTAGAAATTAAAGATTTGTTTTATTCAGTGGGCAGTACCAGCAGGAAACGTGGTCTAAAGGGGCACAGAACAGAATACAAATAGGGACAAGCAGCACGAGATGAAATGTATGAATCACAGCGACAGTGGATATGAAGGGAATCCATGTTTCTGAGTTCAACTCACAGAGGAGAACCCTCGTGTCACTATCAGAAAAAACAACACTGGGCTACATATACAATCTCTCATCTGACCTCGTGGTTTTCTATTTATCAACACTAAACTCAGAGCCCAAGTAACACAGAAGGCCCACAGCCTGTCACTCCAGAACCCCAGCTCTGTCACCTCTCAACCGCCCTTGAGTCCTGCTTTGGCAGGTTTTCAGGTGCCAGGGGGGAAGGGGCCTTGACTTTTTCACTGTGCTCGCACATGTACCCACTGAGGAAGGGCATTACACTGAACTGTCACAGCGGTGGGCTCATCTGAATAACAGGACAGCTCTGAAATCGCCCGTCACCTCCCCTTAGAGGTCAGGCAAGTGGCTCAACAAAGTGAAATCATGTGTTCACCGTCACAAATCTAGAGACTGGCAGGCAAGGAATGGAAAGCTGCTCTGAAAGCTCATGTTCTCTCTTCTATGTTACGCGTCCCCTGCGAGTCTCTGGATCGTCAACCTGATGTAGATGAAACATGGAATGGGATGTTCTCCTATTTACAGTCTTACGAGCAAGAGTGAGGACTACCTGTTTTCTTCCTCACGTCAGAACTTGGATTTTATCTCAGACTACAATGGTGTGAACTCAAAGATGTTTTCCAGCCTTCTCAGCAGTGATGTGTGGCATGTGAGGAAAACCTGGCCACTGAGATTAAGTAGAAGTTGTTGGTTACAACTCTTGGAAAAGGTCCCAACAAGGCAGACAGCAAATCCGCACCTTTTGGCCCCTCTGCAAGCACCTCTCTTCCCGATGGAGTGGAGCCTGAGAGGCCATGAGTGTGGCAGCCACCGCTAAGGCTGCAGAGAAGGCAGGCCGAAGGAGCCTACAGCCCTGACGACGATGTGGACAGGATGCCAGAACTATTCCACTGAGAGACAGAAAATCCTATTTTGTTGAAACCACTTATTTCTAGCCTCTGACACTAGGAGCTTAACATAAATCCTGGCTGAAAGATGCCTTTTTAAAAAAATGTTTTTTTATTTTAGAGACAGAGAGGCCTCACATGGGCGCACACGCACATGGGGAGGGAGGGGCCGAGGGAGAGAGAAACTTAAGTAGACCGCGCGCTGAGTGCAGAGCCTGATGTGGGGCTCGATCTCATGACCCTGAGATCCTGACCTGAGCAGAAATCAAGAGTTAGACGCTTCACCCACTGAGCCCCCCGGGCGCCCCTGAAAGTTGCCACATCAGCCAATGTCTGTATCTGTAACTCAAATCTAGACAGCTGGCCAAGTTCAGGGACCTAAGAGGGTGCGAGCACCTTGTTCTGGAGCACAGCAGCGAGGTGAGGGTTGGAGGGTGCTGGTGCAGCTGTGCTCTGAGGTAGGTTCATGAGCTGTTGCAGAAGGCTGGTGACAGTCACTGATGGAAGGTGATAGAGGAGCAGAGAGAAGGGACTCAGTAAGCATGGCAGCACCTACAAAAAATAGAGAAAAGCATTACATCCTGGCAACTGTGACTTCAGTCAGCCTGCGTCAGTGGGCATGGACAGGAGGATGCTCAGCTGCACACTCAAATGGCCTCAGGCAAGATTTAACACGAAAGGCTGACAAGTCCAGCAGGTACTACTAGAGTCTCAACAATGGGTTGGTTCTGAGGTGTCTACTGAGAACTTTTAAAGCTCAATTTGCACAGGAAACATGACTTGTGTGAACCAAGGGTGTAAAATCACTTCTCAAATAGACAGCAAGATTCATGATAAAATATCATTTCTGAATTCATCCCACAAATATTTCAACGCCTACAGTGTGTCAGGCACTGTGGGCTACAATGAAATGGTAAATAGGTCAGACCTGCAGAAATCTAAAGTTGAGTGGGGAGTCATGAGTAAACTGGCAATTTCGATATACCATGAGAAGGACTCTGAGACAGGTAAATCCTGAGTGCTGCGGAACTACCCAGAAGTATTTTTAGACCTAACTGGATCTTTTTTTTTTTTAAAGATTTTATTTATTTGACAGAGACACAGCAAGAGAGGGAACACAAGCAGGGGGAGTGGGAGAGAGAGAAGCAGGCTTCCCACTGAGCAGGGAGCCTGATGTGGGGCTCAATCCCAGGACCCTGGGACCACAACCTGAGCCGAAGGCAGACACTTAATTAATGACTGAGCCACCCAGGCGCCCCCAGACTTAACTGGATCTTGTCTGATCTTTATACAAGCTCAATGAGGAAGCTGAGAAATGACAGACTTTACAGATTATTAGACAAGCTAAGCGAGCAGAAGCTCAGTATTCAGAGTTCCATAGCTAGTAGTGAGAACCAGAATCCAAGGCTGTTGAATTCTGGCCTGCAAGTCATTCAGTCCTTTTAGCCATGAGGCCCAGACTGGAAAGTTAAAATACAGTGCTACTAATATAACTAGGTTCTAACACAGGAAAGGAAATCAAGGGTGCTTCCAGCACTCAGTGCCCATGGTATAAAAAATGATAGCTGATTTTACTTCAGATGGCATTCAAAGATGGAAAGTAGACTTTTAGGCATCTACTACTCTAAATAAACAAAGCTTTAACAACAAAAGCGTTTTAATCATACAGAAAAGTATAAAGAGTATAATGAAGTCTGTGTACCCATCACCCAGCCTCAATAATTAAATCAACATTCTACCAATCTTATTAAATCTATGTCCCTCCTATATATCCTATCCTTTCATCCATAAATACTTTAGCTTGCATCTCTAACAAAATCTCTCACAGTATTCTTGCACCTAACAAAATTAACAGCCATTCCTCAATCTCACCTAATATCTCCTCCAAATTCAAATTCCTCTAGTTGTCTCAAAAACATCTTTTAGCAATTGACTTATTCTAATCATGATTCCAATGGGACCCACACATTGCATCTGGCTGGTAAGGCTTTTAAAATCTGTGAATTAGTCCTTTGCCCACTGCCCATCTTCTTTTCTCATGCTATTTAGTTGCTGACGATGTCCCACGGTTTGGATTTGGCTAACTGCACCTCTGTGCTGTCACTTAACAGGTTCTACTATCCTCTGTCTTTCCAATAAAAACTGATGGTTAGAATTAGAGGTCTGGTAAGATTTAAGTTCATCGGGGGAAGGCAAGGGTAAGAAAACTTCATGGATAGAGCTGTGTGCTTTTTCCTGCATCATGTCAAGAAGCACACGGTGTCTGGTTGTCCCCCTCTTAGACAGTGATCACTTGTTTGCTGCCCCAACCACCATAAATTTCCCCATCCACCTTTTTACCCAATGCTTTTTGCACCAGTAAGGATTGCTGTCCAGACTGACTGATTGCTTTTCCATTAGGGACTGTAAATTGGAGATTTTCTAATTTTATCATTTCTTTTCCATTTATTAGCTGAAAAAAAAATTTTTTTTTTAAGATTTTATTTATTTGACAGAG